ATATTCAGGGCAGCATTATTTACAGCAGCTAAAATGTGGAACCAACTCAAGTGTGCATTGATGCATGGATGAGCACACTGTAGCATATACATGCGATGGAATACTATTCAGCCCTAAAGAAGAAGTGGAAGGCCTGGCCAGCTGGCTCAGTTTGTTAGAGCACAGCCTTATAAGACCATGTTTATAGGTTCAGATCCCTGTACTGCCCAGCCACCAGGAAAAAAAGTAAATTCTGCAATCTTTTACAACGTGGACGAAACTTGAGGACATTATGCTAAGTGAGATAAGCCAGTCACAAAATGGCAAATACTGTATGATTCCACTTATATGAGGTACTTACAGTAGTGAAAATCATAGGGACAGATGTTAGAATGGTGGTTGCCAGGGGCTGGGGGGAGGGGAGAATGGGGATTTATTGTTTAATGGGTATGGAGTTTCGGTTTTACAGCACGAAGAGTTGTAGAGATGGATGACGGTGATGGTTGCACATTACAACTGTAATAACACTGCACTTTACCCTTAAAAATGGTTAAGACAGGAAATTTTGTGTGTATTTTACCACAGTTCTTTTTAAAAATTGGGGGGGGAAAGGAATGCATGAGGAAGACTGCTTTCTTTATTGTATTTTGAGCTTGCTTCGTAGAACCTTATCTAAGAGCGGAGAGAGATAAGGAGCTGAGGAGCAGTAAGAGGCAGAGAGGAATCTCCTTCTCAGGCAGTTGGATTCAGTCAGCCCCTGCCCTCTGAGAGGGCCTTGGTGTCCCTGTCCACAGGTGATAGCAGCCTAGTTGCTTGAGTTGTAGGAAGACAGATCAAGAACTCAAGGCATTTTGGCAATTTTAGTCCTTATTTCTGAGGCAAAGCACAAGGAAATCTCAGTAATCTTAAGAGCATTTTTCATCAAAGTTTCCCCCTAACAACATTCCAAAAGAAACATTCCTATACACCTACTTCCAAGATGTGCTTAGACAAGTCACGCCTCTGACCGAATGCGCTAGGGAAAGGAGCATTTCAAAGATTCCTTTTTAAGATTCAGAGGTTTGCACATCTGCTGGTACATTAATGGTGTAGTGGCTAGGGAGAAAATTAACTAAGCTTGTCTCTGGCCCCATACTCTTGAAGTGTAGTTCTTATTTTGTTGTTTTGTTTCTCTCCTTTTTCTATTTTTAAATGTAATTCTCCTCCCCACCCCCTTCCTCAGACAACCACCTACTTATTCTAAGAGCTAGAGATTGAGTGTTCTCTTAACCAGCCATGAGTCAGTGACAACCTTTTACTATTGTTGTAAATAGAAACATAAGCTCTGTTCCTGCATGTACTCCATGGGCTGTCTCCCCAGCTCTGTCCTCCACAGCCAAGGAATGTGCAGAGCTGCTGAGTCAGCTGTCAGCTGCTGGGACAAAACACGCAGGATGTTGTCGACTGGCAGAAATTGCACAGATGCCCTGGAAACCTGGCCTTGTTTCCCTTCTCTTCCCTCCTAAGGCTCCTCATTTCCTTTCCCCCTTTCTTCTGTACCTTGGCTTTTCAGTCCCCAGGATTTCTGAGATTTCCCGGCCAGGTTTCCTGGTCTCCAGGTTCCTGTGATTATGAATGTTGATTTTCCCAGGATCCTGGGATGAACAGTACCCAGGGGTGGTCCAGGAGAGGCTAAGAGGAGCGTGATGTGGCTTTGACCTTCAGGAATGAGTGAAGTGGGGGCAGTAACAGGATTGTCCCTTCTCCTGTCATTCTTCCCAGCTGTTCTCAGAGTGAATCAGAATGCCGGAAAGTCTCCTGCAAAACGAGGCAGTCCCAGTCCAGCAGAGCTACAGAATAGTGCTGCAGCTCCATAGAGTTGTCTTCCTGCCATAGTCATTTGGCTTGCAAAGCAGGAAAAGTGAGGCAGCCCAAGGGAATTAATATTGTGTAGTCTTACCTTGGGTGCCTGTTGCATTGTTCCAGGAACCAATCGACCTCTGTTTATCTGTCATCATTAGTGTTCTACAGGTCAAATCCCTTTGACAGGGCACTGACTACTTGCCTGTCGCTTGGAAGCAGACACTCTGCAGCTCTCTGGGAGCTGTGGCTGAAACTTGTTAATTTGAAAGTGTTTTACACTAACAGAAGGATTGGGGGGAGTTGCTCACAATGGTCTTCGTCTGTGGTGGGATTCCATTTGGAAATCTTCTGTGGTAGTTAGCAGCTCTTTGGAAGTGATTATTTATTTCAGATGAAGTGGCCTACAACCAACCAAGGGGCTGTTACAAGCTCACACAGCAGAACTCTTCTTTGGAAATAAGTGCCCAAGTCTCTCTTTTAGGGGAGGTGTGAGCACAATGCGGGTGTTATAACAGGAAAAGCTCTTAGAAATGTGTTGCAGAATTGTTAATTTGTTGGTTTCAGCAAGAACATCATGGCTGTGAAGACTGAATCCTGGCAAGGAGTGGAAGGTGGCTGCTATTAAGGAACAAAAAAAAATCATTTTCTGCCTTGACTTTAGGTAGACATGGTTCAGACCAGGCATATTCAAAGCTTGCCAAACACTGTGACTCTGGTGGAGTTAAGACTGATTGTGAACACAGAAGGGTGTGTGGGGCCAGGATTGCACAATGCTGTCTGCTTGCCAGCAAGCCCAACGAGCTGCAGAAACCCCCACAAAGCAGCAGGAGGCCATGAAGGCCCCTGAGGCAGCAGGTACTCTGGGATTTTGTTTCTAGGCATTGGCTGTTACCTGTCACCCTTTCTTCTGTCTCTAGATAAGCACATCTAGTTTTTTCCACCCCTACAAGCCATCTTTGGACTATCAACCATTTCTAAGATAAGCCTTGGCTTGTAAGAAAAAGAATGGACTGTTCTTAGGAACTTTAAAATATTTAAAAATACTTTTCTTGCTTCTTGCTTCTAACAAGAATAAACCTTTATTTAGGGGAAACTGAGGGTTCTAGTTAATTTCTTTTCTTGCTGGACTCTTGGCCATGTGGATGTTAGGAAAAGCCGTGTTTATCAGCAGTGTAGTTTTTCATATCCAGAGCCAGGAGTGGTTGTTGAGTATATGATATATTTGAGGCGAGAGGCCAAGTCAGTGTGTTTCAGGTAGAGAAAGATCATCTTCGACTTGTTCTCCATGGTACATGCAGTGTTGTGTCTGTTGACATGGAAAACATAAGGGCAGTTCCTTGTATTTAGTTGTTACTTTCCCTCGTGAAACTTAAGACACATCTCTAGTTGGCTTGGTATAATCTTATGATATCATGGTGAGGTGTGGGGAGAAGCAGAATGTTATTTCTACTTCACAAAGGGGGATTCTGTTGCTCAGTGACTTACCCAAAGTAAGAGCTTCAAGATAGAACACTGGATCTCTTCCGTGTGCTTCTGGAACTTGGTGTCTGTCTTCCAGATTTCATCAGCACCTGCAGCTTGGTGGCTCCCACTATGCTTGGGTTGGTTCACTAATTTCTTGCTTCTACACCCTCGTGAATACTGTGCGGCAGTAACTCCCTTCCTCCATCTCCCCCCATCCCCAAGAGTAAGTCCTCTTGGAGCAAAGTCTCAGTCTGATCATGTTTGTCACCTAGTGGTAAATTGGTGATATGCCCATTATGCACCTTTCTGACCAGAGCATCAGCACTGTGACCCTAAGGATTTTCTCAGCACTAGACACAGATAACTTCAGAATTGGAAGAGAGTTTTGGAGATCATCAATCAAATCTCCACATCTTACACAAGGAAAAACTAAGGCCTCAGCAGCAGGTGTCTGGAATGTGTGGACTTAGCCGTGACAGCCCTTGTCACATTGCCCGATCCTCCTCCTCTGTTCCTCCTGTGGCTTAGTTGTGGTCTTGGCCCTTCACCTCCTGTCCCCCAATAATTGTTCTAGTTTGTGATGATAAATAAAATGTGGTACAAAAATGATGAAAGACCCAGGGGGTGAGTGGATAAGGAAGCTCACGAGGTGCCGTCTCCCGTCTTTGTACCTCTGCTCAGCATTACATGCAGGATGGTAGGGGTGTGGGTACTTTTGGTAAGTGTATAGACATCATCATTGTCATTGTCAAATATGATCACGGGTGAAATGGAATGGCTGTGAAATCTCCCACCCTGCCATGTGCCATGTGCAGTGCCGGGACTTTCTGAGTCCTTTAAATCCTACTGACTTTGTCACTTCTGAACCGTCTGCTTCTTAGACTTCTATGACACTGCCCTTTGGTTCTCGTCAGACCTCTCTACTGTTCCTCATAATCTTTCTCTGCCAGCGCCTTACAGGTTGGTGCTTCCCAGATCTCATCCAGAGCCCACAGCTCTTCTCTCCCCATGGACTGTCCTTGCATGATCTTACCTGCTTTCAAAGGTTCAATCACCACCTGTATGCTAATGACTTCTAAGTCTGGTCTGCCTCCCCAGCTACTCCTCTGAACTTCAGATTCATACCCAACTGCCTAGTGAGCACCTCCTCTTAGGGAGCTCAAGCATAAGAGGTCAAAAAGGGAGCTCACCACCCCACCCTCACAAATGAGTGCTTCTATTTTTAATCCATTGGCCTAAGCTGGAAACCATTCTTGACTCTTTGATCTGTATGAGTCACTCATACACGTCCTACACTTCTTCCCTCCCTGGCTAACACTCATTTATCCCGAAAGACTTGGCTGCCACATCTTGGAGGTTCATCATCAGTGAGGACCCCACCTCCCTGTGACTTAGGTACTCTTCTTCTGGGGACCCAAATCCCTGTGCCTCTCTCTCTGATGGCACTTAGTATGCACACTGTAATATTCTGCCTCTGCATGTGTCTGTCTCGTGCATTAGACTGTAAAACCCCTGAGAGCAAGAACTGTCTCACTCATCTCCTATCCCCAGGTCTTGGGTAGCTCCTGGAGTGCTGCAGTTGTGTAGTGCAGGTTTGTTGAATGAATGAGTGTTAACTCTCGGGAACTCTATTTTGAAAAACAATGTATCTCCTGGAAAATGTTTATAGGTACAGAAATGCTAACCATTCCTTTTTCTTTCTTTCCTTTTTTTAGATTAACGTGACGGTGTCAGGTGGATCGACAGCCATCTCACTGCCCCTCTGTAGGGGGTTGCTGAGAGTGCAGAGGCATGGAGGAGAGTAAGCATGAGGCAGTGAACCAAGCTCATTTCCTCTTTGACCGGTTTGTCCAGGCCACCACCTGCAAGGGAACCCTCAGGGCCTTCCAAGAGCTCTGTGACCACCTGGAACTGAAGCCGAAGGACTACCGTTCTTTCTATCACAAGCTGAAGTCCAAGCTTAACTACTGGAAAGCCAAAGCCCTCTGGGCAAAGTTAGACAAGCGTGGCAGTCACAAAGACTTCAAAAAGGGAAAAGCATGCACTAACACCAAGGTGAGGGTCTGACTGCTCTTCCGCCCTGGGGTCAGTGAAGTGAGGATTTAGCCACATGCCAAAGAGAAGGATTAAGTAGAGGTGGATTGGGTGAGAACCAGGCAGAGCCTAGCCACAACCCAGCCTAAGAGTCAAGTTCACACCTTGTTGAAACTTTGTGGATCTATTACCTCTGTTGATTTGACTATTCCACGTGCCAGACCTTATTCTAAGCCTATTTCATGTATTTACAAATTGAACACTCAAAGTTTAACTATTTAAGAACAACCCTGAAGTCAAGGGCACAGGAATATTTAGTGGTGCTGAAGCTCCGTTCTGTGTGAGCAGGGAGCAGCCCGGCCCCATTCACATACTGTCTGAATGTGGCTTTTTGTGGCTATTGGCTTGTCATCTTTACAAAGTTATCATTCCATACTCAGTTACCAGTAAGGTATAGTATTTGCCAACTTGGGGATTTGCCACAAGCTTTAGATCTTTTCCCATCCATATTCCAAAGATCTGTTTTGATTCATAAGCAAGGACCTTGTGAACTGAAGTATTTCCATTGCTTTCTTTACAATGTAGAGAAATAGGGTTTCCATGAAGCAGGTGGGGCTGGGCAAAATCCTGAGGTGTGCCCTCACCTGTGGAGAAGGAAGGACAGGTTTTCTGCTTCCCTCCTTATAAGAAAAGATAACAGGGACACAAATGTGCCGATGATTTCACTGCTAAATTATGTCCTTTCACAAGCTTAAATTTGCCCTCTGTGGATACCTAGAAGCCCACATCCATTGGATTTGCATTTGGGTAGATATTCCTCAACATAATTCAAGTGATTTGGAGGAAAGACTTCTTTGAGTGAGTATTGGGGGTTTAAAATAAGACTAAAAGGGAAGCGAAAGAAAAAACATTTCGTGTCTTCCTCTGTACATACCATGCAACCTAGTTAAGTGTCCAGTCTCACCCTGAGTATTTCTCTACAGTGTGGATTTTTAAGATAATTTTACTGATTTTTAGTCTAGAAATGGTGATCTTAGAACTCTTTTTTGCACATAAAACTTTGGCTTTTGAAAGTTGTCTCCTGAGAATAATTTGAGTGGTAGACCATTCCAGGACTCTTAAGATTGCCTGGACTATGAATTTAATAATCTGTGTCTCCTTGCACACATGTCTTCTTGACTTACAAACCTTCCAAAAGGTCCTCTTTGTTGATGAAAGATGAGATGTGGTTTTTCACATGGTTTGTTGAAATTATGACCCATTTAAATATGTTGCAGGTCTGTGGGACTTACAGGCTGACCCAGGTGAACATGTGCTGGGTTTATGTCTGCCACTGACAATTCAGTGGCTTCTCTACAGCAATCATTAGCTCTTCTCTCAAGCAATTGCACGTCCTCTGCTATGACCCAGATGGGTCTAAAGGTTTCTTGGTAGTAGAGAGGATAGCCCTATTTGGAGGCTTTAGGGAGTGATGGTTATGAGATCATGAAACTTCTCTAGAAATGTTTCTTAAGAGTTGCTGCCTTTGACCTGAAAGCCCCTATGTTTTTCAGTGTCTCATCATTGGAGCTGGCCCCTGTGGTCTCCGCACAGCCATTGACTTATCCTTATTGGGAGCCAAGGTGGTTGTTATTGAAAAACGAGATGCCTTCTCCCGCAACAATGTCTTGCATCTCTGGCCATTCACCATACATGATCTGCGAGGTCTGGGTGCCAAGAAGTTCTATGGCAAGTTCTGTGCTGGAGCCATTGACCATATCAGTAAGTAAAACCAATTCTCCTGTAGGATTCCACCCCTACCCTCCACCCACTTGTTCAGTAGGAAGAGACAGGTAGGTTATCCGAGGAATTCGTACTCTACAGCCCAGTTTGTTCTGATCTCATTGGTATCTACCTTGTAGCAAGCATACTCCACTCCGTGCAGTGGTTCTTTAATCTAGGACTCTTAACTACAAGTGTATTTCCTGTGAAATGGTGAGTTTGGTGTAAGGATTTCTAAGTTAGGTCTTGGACTCTTACTAAGCACTTGCAGTGTGGGGGCTAGGCACTGGGGGCCAGGCATTGGGAAACAAATGACCAATCTGGGCCTCCACCCTCTGGCAGGTCCTAGTCCAGTGGAAAAACAACATAGGCGTGTGGTTCTCTGTAACATGACCTGGTATATGCCCTACTAATGTAAAAGCGAAGTGCTGTGGGCACACAGTCCTGGGAAAACCATACATACAGAAGAGGCACAGTCCTAGCTTGGTCACGAATGGCAAGTGGATAATGGGATTCCTTTGGTTGGGTGATTCTGATGAGGCCTACAGCCAGAACAGCTCTTGCTATACTCTTGTCAATTCCAAGTTCAAAAGCCTGTGCTTTTCTGAGATTTTGTAGGAAAAATACAAGTCAGCACAGTGACTGTGTTTTTGTGACTGTAAGTGGCCTATCTAAAAAGCAATTCAGAACAGACAGTGTCTGCATTATGAAGTTGAAGTCTTTTTTATTGATTACCACTAATGATTCCAGGGAAGCTTTATCAGGGAACCTTTGTTCTGAGCTTCTCCAGATGTGTCCTGTGAATACATTCAACCACTGAGCCTCTTGCTATTTTGAAGCAGTTGTGCCGATTTATCAAACACTAGCCAACAGCTGCCATGTTCCATTGGCAGAGGAAGCACTGTGCCCGTTGTCAGGCTGTAATTGCAGAGCATCTTGGAACCCATAGTTGTCTGCAAAAATAAAATGTGTGCTAGCACGGATTTAATGAGTCTTTGGGAGTGTGACTCAGAAGGGTGGTGGTTGTGGTAAGCTGGGAAAAATAACCAGGATGACTTAGAGGAGGACTTGCATGTGCTCCCAGCAAATTAGTCATGGGCTGCAGGTGAGTTTACTTGTAAGCAAAGACCAAAGGTCATTAATTCAGGGGATTCATCTGCCTTCTGTGTGGCAGGATTTATCTTGGGCCTAAGAGGTTTTAGATCAGGGACTACATTTTTGTCTCTGTATACCTGGTGTTGCTGTCATGTCTGGCACCTAATGGGTACTCATCAGATAAACAGATAAATTTCACCTTGACAATAAGCAAGATTTTTACAATCATTGTAGACCTCAGTTTCTGCAACTCTAGACCAGTGGTAGGAGGGGAAGGGTGAGAGGATAAGGTTGGATTGTGATTTCTCTTGCTCACCTTATGAGACTATGTGAAGATCAGTGAGGTGATGGGGTGAGAGATGCTGTGGGCATCTCAGGAAGTGGTGCGGCAGCTTTGCATCAAACTGTGGACAGCACAACCCGTGGCTGCTCACATTTTATCTCCTGTTGTAAGTTCCATGTCCTAGACTGTATAGGGGGCAGGCGGAAAAGAGAGTCTCCTGTTGGCCACAATTCTGTGTTTTTCTCAGAGCTTTTGATTGTGTAGAAAACCTAACCGGGGCCGACCCCGTGGCGCACTCGAGAGAGTGCAGCGCTGGGAGCGCAGCGACGCTCCCGCCGCGGGTTCGGATCCTATATAGGAGTGGCCGTGCGCTCACTGGCTGATCGCGGTGCGGGTGACACCATACCAGGGGTTGTGATCCCCTTACCGGTCACAAAAAAGACAAAAAAAAAAAAAAAAAA